TCTCCTATCTGCAGGTTGCAAATACATGGGGGTTTCCGAAATGAAAGGCTCATTATTGGTGTCGTTCTTATAAGGGAAACCTACCAAGGGGGGGGGGGGGTCTTTTGTCCCCATCGTCGTAAACCCCCACATAAGGCACCCAAAAATCAGAACACCCACATGGGAGCTCAGGAATGAGACTGAAACAGTAGATTCTGGCACTTCGCGGCACTGCGTAGATCCCGAAGCTTGAGCCCGAAAGCCCTGAATCACACCTGAAACCTTGACATGGAACCCTAAAACCCTAAAACTTTAATACCCTAAAACCCGAAAGCCCTAAAACCCTAAAACCCTAAAACCCTAAAACCCTAAAACCCTAAGCCAAAAAGGTTCGCTGGCTCAGCCTTGCTGGTCTTCACCTTTCCGTACTCCGGTGGCTTCAGCGCGATTCCACCGAGACCAGAGGCTTGAATGAAGCAAGCCAAAGATTGCATCAATGTCTAGCAAACATGTAGCCAACTGCATTGATCATCCGAGCTTTCCTGAGGTGTGAACGTGCATGTCTGAAACACCTGCAAGTGAAGTACCCAGAGCGAGAGGTTAGAAGCAACCATCAAGACAAGTAAAAGCGACATTCCTCACCATCACCATCCTGTATGTGTGACTTGAGCATCCATGGCCCTAGCGAAGCTTACCTTCGGGCAGGGCTCGCAACTTTTAGATGCCCCAGGCATTTTTGTAAGAAACCCGAAGCAGTATAAACCCTAAAGCCTATAAACCCCCCTTAGACCTTACAAACCCCCTAAACCCTAAATGACAAAAAAGCCTTTGGAGGGTTCCTTTTCGTCTTGGACCGCCTTGCCTTCGGCCCCGTGGCTTGCAGTGATGTTTGCAAAAAGTTTTGCTGGGCCCACGGAGCCGCGCATTGCTCTTGTTATTATTCTTATGATTCTTCTTCTTATGTTTAAATTGTGATGATTATTAGTATATTACTGTTTGATTATTTGGTTTGCCATGATGGTTATCTTATACTAGAGTACACTTGTGAGCAATACATATTGCCATCGTGTGGCATTTGCATCGGGATGTCGTGAGGGGCTGTCCCAAATCCCAAAACCTGCTCAACAGGCTCCTGGGACTGTTTGGGGGGGGGGGGGGGGTTTCGGAGGGCCGCTCCCCCTAAACCCGAAACCCTAAACCCTCAACCCTAAACCCTACACCCTACACCCTACACCCTAAACCCTGAACCCTGAACCCTAAACCCTAAACCCTAAACCCTACAACAACACTGCTTAGAATCGACTGTGCCCTGAACCGTGAGGCACACTAACCACCAGCCCATGGCTGCTTCGGCTGGCGCTGTTCTCCTGGCAAGTATCGCCCCCAAAGCTGACAGGAATGTTTAATCAGGACAGGGCTCTCTCAAACGCTCTCGGATAGATGTAGGGTTCAGGGTTTAGGGTTTGGGGTTTAGGGTTAAATGGGGTTTCAAGTTTCAGGTTGGTTTTGGGGTATTTCCAAATGGGCACTTTCCCGTTGACGAATGCGCGAGCGCCATGCGTCAGGGCTTTCTTGACTCAGGCGACTTGCTTGGAGTTCTCCTGGTTCGTCTGGCCCTTAAACATGATTTGTACTTCGCGCAATTGCCGCCTGGCAAGCATGTCGATGTCACACCCTGTTGAGCGAGCTCCTATGCAGAATGTAGGTTGCCAGCAGCAAGCAGTCCCAATCAATGTCCTTATCAGACTGCGAGGGTCCAGGGAGTTGTGATTTCTGATGACAAAGATGCTATGGTGCATTGCAGCAGCCTGCTCTCCAGCACTCGTAGCGGTCAGCGCGCTCTGTGACATCGCACGCCGCACAGGCGCGGCGGGCGTTGGCGTTCCTTGGGGGTACCATTTTGAACCCTAAAGTTGGGGTCCTATACCCTATACTACCATAATTCCTATTCAGGTATGTGAACCATAAACCGCATAAACCCTTTTAGGGGTCATCTGGTTCCCAAGGTTGTTGGGATAGCAAAGTCCAACCGGGGGGCTTGCGCGCCCCGCAGGCCCACCATGAACTTCGCAAAGTCTTTGGCCATCACCGCCGTGCAGGAGCAGGCAAACAAGAATCGGGGTTTAGGGTTTTAGGGTTTGGGGTTTTAGGGTTTTAGGGTTTCAGGGTCTTAGGGTTTTAGGGTTTTAGGGTCTTAGGGTCTTAGGGTTTTAGGGTTTTAGGGCTTTAGGGTTTTTGGGTTTTTGGGTTTTTGGGTTTTAGGGCTTTAGGGCTTTAAGGGTTTTAGGGTTTTAGGGCTTTAGGGCTTTAGGGCCATCCTAGAGTTCGGAGGCAGTCATTGGGGAAGTTCCTCCCATGCGCAGTTGCTTGCCACACCTCCGAGAGGCAAACCGCGATGCCCAGGACGTCGCAGTGAGCCAGCGCTGGGCAGCTCGGTTGAATGGAGGACACAAGCAGCCAGCAGCTTTTCGAACATTCTTTTGCGAGCGTGCGAGCATACTGCTGGGTGGGCGTCAATAGT